GACGTACAGGGCAGCCCCACACTCACAACCAAATTTACCAAATGTAAACAAAAGGATTTAATCATAAAAAAAATCTGAATAGTAAACTTTGCCGGATAAATGGGTATCTTCAACTGAGACCAATTGCAGTCACTCGGATACTTTGATGATGTTCCACGTCTTGTGGTATGAAAGTCATCCAGGTGCCCCTTGGTGATAGCACGGCAAATCAGTCCTGTAGCTCAGTGGTTAGAGAACTCGCCTCACAACTGAGAGGATCTGGGTTTGATTCCCTGGTAGAGTGAAATGCTGGGCAAGTTTCCTTATTCCACACGCCTCTGTTTACACTGCTGTTTACCTAGCAGTAAGTAGGATACATAGATTGGAAATAAAATCTGGCTGATCAGTTAGTATGGAAGTAAAGACATATAGATTCATAGAATATTACTGCACAGAATGAGGCCATTTGGCCTGCCGTGCCTGTACCGACTCTTCGGAAGAGCTGCCCAATCAGTCCCACTCCCCCGCTCTTTCCACAGATCCTTGCAAATTTTTCCTTTTCAAGTAGCCATCCAATTCCCTTTTGAAAGTTGTTATTGAATCGGTTTCCACCATCCTTTCATTCCAGACCGTAACAACTCTCTGTATAAAAAAACATTTCTCTTCATCTCCCCTCTGGTTCTTTTAATGCTGAGAAATATTATGGGAACTATTGCTAAGGAGTCCAACATCTAAGGGAACTTAAGAAATCCATTCTAGATATGCTTTAGGTCCTGGTTTTGATAAATGTCGCTGCCTTAATTGATCAATATTGGTCATTCATGTGTAACAGAAGTGAAGTTGAAGAAGCCAATTATGTCAAACCGACTGCACAACGCTCATCAAAACACCTTAAAGTAAGGCTGCTTCACAGAGGCAAGACAGCACAATCTATCACAGCCGGGCAATGATTGAAACAGAAGGGATTTCTTTCTCTGCAAGCAAGCCGATCCTTACAGAGATAGATGTGACTTGCTGAGTAGCCTTAGGGCTTGAGAAAATCAGATTCTTTTAACTCTCTGATTTTTTTTTCATCAGCCGGGTGTCTGACACTTGTGGCAATCCATCACCGTGCTTAAGAGTATCCAAACCACACTGAGAATTACATACATCCCACCAATACATGGAAATCCCAGACATAGATTGTTGGAATGGAATGCGCACTCTCTCCCAAGAGGAACACATTTGACTTACCTAATCCCGGTTGGCAGGAGCTAAGGCTTAGTGACACCAGAGTGCGTGTTGGAGTACCGCTGGAACCTAATTTCATCTTTACACCACTCACCATTTTTTTTCTACTGCAAGAGATTTCCAATAAAGGATTTAGTTTCAGTTTGGTGACTTGGTCAGACATCCAAATTCCCATTTGAATCTGACCCACTGCCTTACACACCTGGATTTCCTTTGGATGGCAATGTTCTTGCAAGTCTTAAGCAAAGTCCACATAAAGAGCAAAGTCCCTTCTCTGCCGTCTGATATGAAAAATCGATTGGATAGCCTTGATCCAGTTTCCCCACACATAGATTTACATTGACTTATAATTGTCTTCAAAGAGGCAACAGAGATGAAGAGTATGCAAAATGGAAAGCCTTTGACGATTTTAAACATGGTTTAGATCTCCATAGTTAATCAAACCGAGAAATTGAATGGTAGAGTACAGGACTGGAATAAGATTTTTTTTTATTTGCACAAATTACCCTATTTTGGCACAATGTGTGCAGAGAACAGGGTAAATGTTTTAAATGTGATTCTACTCTCTATTCATTTTGACACCTTATGGATGGGAAAGGTTGCACATGGTCTGGAATGTTTTATCTGCTGAACTGACATAGTACCTTCCATTAAAGAATGGACTAATCTCAGTCAAGTGCAGTAACACTTGTCTTCCGTGAAAGGACCGGAAATTTGAAATAGTGACATTGTAAAGATAAGCGGTGAACACATCGGTATCTATTCTGCACCGTGTAAAGCAATCAATTGAAATGAGACAGCCCTGAGAATATGGGACAGAAAAGATTAATATATAGTGTGTGCTCCAAAATTAAGTCCTGGAGATGAAAGGTGTTGGACTGTAAAAGGAAAAATATGACTGAGAAATAATTCCTCACATTTAATAGGTTTGGATAATGGATATGCTATTGCAAATATTGCATAATTAAAGAGGCACAAGATTACTAGTTAAGCAGCAGCAGTAGTTTAACATTCATTGAGAGAAGACAGAATTATTGTATTGCTTACCCGATTAGCATTTGAAAGTAAGCAGAATAAAAGCAGAGATAAAATTAATAAATGGTCTGGAAGCTTACACTTTAAGGGCCTAAAATTCCACTGGGTGAGGGTCCAACACATCTCCGAGTACATTTCGTGTCTCAATCCACGACTCCGTGCGCAATTGGCTGCAGCATTTCATCTACAAATACCCAGTCGATTCCCTTTACATATATATTCTGCGAAGCGCTTTGAGACGCCTCAAGGACGTGATGCCACAAAAGCCAAAAGCTAAATCTAATGCCTAGTTTCATTAGGCCTTTATGGATTGAAAATTTGGCGGATTTTCCACCAATTTATCTAAATAAAACCTTATTTTGCTCCAAAAAGTATATAGTCAATTCACTTTATAGTATATTCTGTGAAGCACTTTGAGACGTCTCGAAAATGTGATAAGGGGCTGTATCTAATACAAGAATTATTATTATCATTATTATTTTAAAAAGCCAACCATTAATGAACAATGTCCTTCTCTTGTTGTGGTCAGATTTGATGCTGCAGATCATACAGTTTCGTCAAAATCATCTTCGTTTTGTACAAACAATGAAAAATAATGCATTTTATAAATAATTATTCGATAAGACTGTTTTGTCATGTCATTTGTCACGTGTAATGGTGCCCGCAACACTAATGTCTCTGCCAACCTCAATATTGTGAATAATGAGCCTCAATATTAATCTGATAAAATTTTCTATTGGCAGGTTTTTGCTGCTGAAAGGTTTGCTGTGACCCATTTGAAATAAGTTCTGCATTGCAATGGGCAAGTGTAGGTCAGATACAAGAAGTGTTTCTCGACACAGAAGGTAAGCATCAGCTGTATTGGGTTACTAGGAAGAATGGTTGGTTGAGGAGACACTGGACTCATTGACCAAACAGCTTGATGTTGTAATGCAGGTGAGATATTCAGAAAGGACAATATCCAATGCTTCACCTGAAACCTCTCGTGTCCTTGTGAGATTAACAGTGAAATTTGCTGAGATTAACAGAATCAAGTTTGGATTCAGAATATTTAAAAGGTGGAAGTGCATCTCTTTTGTCCCAGGGAAGATAAACCAAGGAGAAAACGGCCAACAATAAAGCACAGCACACAAGAAGGAAACGGATGGATTTGCTTTCTACGGCAGTAAACACACCCCCTTTATTTCAAGTATTTTTCCTCATTAACTTTCAATGAAAACATCGCATCAGTAAAGAAATCAGTCAGAAGGAATGTGAGCAACCTAACAGGCTCCACGAGCACTGCGAGGCTCACAGAGCTGATTTTTTTTTTTCTTTTTTTTTTCAATCGTTTTTTTTAAAAGGTTAAACACGGCAATTAAAATTCAGTCAGCGTTAACCACTAATAGTCTAAACATACTCAGTTCAACTAACCAACACATTTAGCAGGATGTAACTGCTAATAAGACATGAAGCAATTTACGCTGGTTAAGCTAGCTCAAGCTCCGAATTCTATTAGTGCAATACATCGGAAACATAACATGATCGGGAAAAAAAATCCTCAGCAAATTATAACGGCCACTGCAGTGGGAAACCGAGTTATTTTTGTAATGGGAGCTTTGCCTTTTTAAAAAAAAAGTGAAGCAAGGTGTTCTATGCAAACTATGTGTCTTGCTGATATTATTTTAACATACTTTTTTTTAAACACACACACACACACACACACACATACACACTATAGAAAGAAATCCTGTATGTTTAAAGGCAGGGGTTTAATGCCAACATGCAGTAATGACGCAATACTGAAGGAACGAAAATTATTGCACCACAGGTACGTGGCAACATTCAGGAATAGGTTAAATAAGTATTAAAATGCTGTTTTCTCTTGAATGCTCTTCACGTTTTTGTGAAAGCACTTCTATTACACATTCCTAGGACAACAAAATATCTATGTGGCACAAACCCAAAAAGACATCCAAGACTGTCGTGTGTATATTTACAATAAATAAGATACATTTTCCAGATACACCAATACAAAAAAAGGGGAAGAAGGGGGGGGGGGGGGGGTGGGGAGGGAGGGAGGGGGGAATTACATTACTCTCGCAAAGCGCTCTGCAGGAATGTATTACTTTGCATAGTAACAGTTACGATACAGAGCTAAGGATTCAGGCAATACCATGACACAACGAGGAATCTAGTAAACACGTAAAGCAAAAAGGCCTCGCTATAATAAAGGCTGGGTTGGCAAAGTCAGCAATACACTGATACACGTTACCTAATCACTGAAAGACTATGCGGACGCACTAGAAATTGGAACAAGGAAGGGAGAGAGAAACATTGAAAATGTAGAAAGAAAAGTGTTTAAGAATATATGCAAGAAAGAAAAAGTCCTGTCTTATTCATGTGCATTGTAGCATTTCTCATAGGATCACAGTGTACACAGGGATTATCATCCACTTTGCTACCTTCAGAAAGACCATTGGTCTGACTTGAAATCAAACTTGGCGTTAACGAGTGAGTAGAAAACATAACGGCAGATAGAACAACAGATAGATAGATAGATAAATAGATACCCTGTTTGAAATGTCAGCTCAGTGTGTGTGAGCTCTGAAACACAAAGAGTAAAGTAGCAGATTGGCAGTTGCATAAGTGTCCCCAACGCTGCATTTTACTAAAGTCTTATGAAAATTCGAAATCAGTCACAAACATTTCATTTGGGTTCCTTCCTTCCCCACACCCCCCCCCCCCCACACCCCCACCCACCCCCCACCCGCCCGAGTTGGATAGGTTTTCCCGATAGTGTATGGATACAAAGTCAAACATGCAGCTTTAAGGAAACTTAAAAAAATAATAAAGCTCGGGTCTTCTTAAGATGCTGATGACTTCACTTCTCATAACTGGAAATTGTCAACTATGTTTTTTTGAAATGATCATCCCGTTGGATCTCCTCCCAGCCCAGGACATCTTGTCCTCTCTTACTGTCTGTTGGCTCCCGGCCTTTGGAGTTGCAGCTTCCAGGCTGATCTTTCCCAGTCTTTCCCCCACAAACTCTCAGTTCTTTTGGTTTGGGAATCCTTGCTCCCTCTGCTCCTCCCTCCTGCTCCTGTAAGGCTGCGAGCGTTGGTCCAGGCTTTAACGGTGATGCACACGCTGGCGAGGCTGCAGCAGGCCCAAACGCGTTAAAGTGTGGCTCTTTAGTACTCCAGGCCAGAAAGTCCTGTAACCCTCCTTCTTTCCTCTTCTTGGTCTCCGCCATGCCAGGGAGAACCAGCTTCACTGGGCCCAACACACTTTTGGCAACGGTGGCTAAATGGGAAACGAAAGGTGTTTTATCAAAGCTAACTGGGGAGCACGCTGAGCTTGCCATGCTGACTGCTGGCTGACCCTTAACATCCGCATCTCTTTTCTCCTTTAGTATTCGTTCATTTTGGCTGGACCTGGCTTCCTTGTCCTCGGCAGCGGAACACTTTAGCGCCTGCTGACATTTCACATTGTTTGACTGCAGTGCCTTCTCGCTGATCTTTAACACGTTCTTTGGCTTACCGACGCTTTGGCCGATGGCCTCGCCAATTAGCGGCTTTTCAGCCCCGAGACCCTCCCTTTTAGGCTCTCCTGTTCGCTGGAGCTGTGTCGCAGGCTGAGCGCGCGCCCATTCCAATAGAAACTGCTCGGCACTCGGGGAAGAGCACACAACTCGTTGTGCAGTCGCTTCCGTGGGTCTCTCACGAGGGTCCTTCGTTGCAGGAGGCCTGGATGGTTTCATCTGACTAAGAGGAGTGTTGTTACTGCCAGTTTCTGTACAGTCTGTTTGAATGCCCTGATGTACTTCGGATGGGGCTGCTTTCTTGAGCCCCTGGCTTGACAGTTTCTCCGGGACATTTTCCATTACGATGATTTTAAGGGAGTCTTTAATCTTTGCTGTCACACAATCTAATAAAGGCGGTTTTATTTCAGGAGTTTTCAAGTCTGTGCAGTCGGTTTTAATCTGCCCGCCCGGTTGAAGCCCTGAGGCTGTACGTGGCAATACATCTTTTGTCGCACGTGCAGCGTTAATTGAAGAGCTTTCGGTTGGGTTGGGTTCTGGCATTTTATGTGAGACTGGTCCGTGGATTGACCTCCCGACACTGCCCTCTGGAGGTTGAGTCAAGACTTTGACTGGAAGCTTCGCAACTTTGGATTCTTCGGGCAAGAAGACCGAGCTGAGGTCCTCTTCGGCAGAATCTCGGCCGCCTGCTTTGTATGAATCCTGACTCGCTTCGAATACGTTCGAAACCTCTGCCCGGACCCGGGAATCGCTCGGTTTCCTTCCTTCCTGGCTGCCCTCCGACCCCTCGTCGCTCTCGTCCTCGGAGACATCCACCTCGTGGATGGCGTCTTGTTTCTGCAGAGCTTCTCTTCTTTCCGCTCGGTCGTATCGTATGGCCACCAGTTTGTCGTTCAGTTTGCCCCTGTTGATTCCCTCCGATGATTCCTGCCTCCCAAGCTTCCTGCCGGTGGGTTGTTTTAACGTTCCCTTTTCCGCAGGGCCGGCTTTACAGCCCGGAGTCTCATTTACAGATTCCTGTAAGCTCTGTAGACTGGGATCTCTCTGCAGCATCTCTTTCTTGAACTCGGAGTGTGAGATATCCAGGCTGTGCTTGCGGGAGGACGAGAGCTTCTTGTCAGAGGAGAGGGTGGAGGCCAGCTTCTCCGCGGACTGGACCCTCTTCAACAGGGGCGATCGAGGAGGCTCTGCACTTTTGGGCCTGGAGATCTGCCTGACCAGGGGTGGAGAGGAGTGGAGCTTGACCGGGAACGACTGTGTTGCGTTCGAACTCCCCAAGCAATGTGAAGGTAAGGGAGATGGAGAGCGCTGGGGGGAGGTCGGTTGTGGCGTGGGCGATGGAGTGCGAGCGAGAGGGGACAGGGGGATATTTCCTGCCGACTTGCGTCTGGGTGATCTGTACTGTCTCTGCAGCTTGGGAGCCAAACCCTGCAGAGAGCTGGGGCGGATGTGGCCAGAACTGGCTGGGGAATTGGGTACACTGGAACTGGGCGAGCTGCTTTGCGATGAATTGCCACCGACTGGAGAGAAAACAAGAGTTAAAACGAGGCATTAACACGAGTAAATGGGTAATTAATGAATCCAAAACCCGTCTCACTGAAACGTGTGCATTTGGGATAATGAGCCAAACAGACAAAGTAGTCGAGTTAAAAAGAAACAATTAGCAGAGAGAGAAAAAAAAACCCACCAAGGCAGATCACAAAATGCTTTATATGTGCGTGGCTCAACCTTCTACATGTTCTTTTATTCGTCACCCAGAAATGATTCATGTCAAAGCTAAATTAGAAATACTGTTGTCTTTTTAACAGCATGTGGAACCACAATTGTAAAATAAAATGAACATCCAACGAGTAACTGTGGGGACAATCAAACAATGCCACGTATTAATGTATAATTATTAATGTATAATTGACATGAATGGAGTTGCGGGTAGTTAGCTTCAACTTGTACAATGAAGGAACAACAGAAAAANGTAAGCTTATTAGTCGTGAGAATCAAATTGCTTTTTACTCCAGTTGTGATTTAAGAATTGAAGAACTAAGGTTAAAAAAAATCTCTACACAGAGGGTGGTTGGAATGCGGAATTCTCTGCCAGAAATAATCAGTCGTTTGCACTGCAGGAATAATAATAAAAACATTCCTTTCATTTGCTATAGCGCCTTATCAAGTCTTCGAGACGTCTCAAAGCCCTTCACAGAATATACTGCAAAGTGTATATTTTGCGGGCGAAACGTGGCAGCCAACTGCTCACGGCGGCGTCCCCACAAACAGCGGTGGATTGAACGAAACAAAATGGAATGACATCTACCTGAATGAGCAGAATCCGGGGTTGACCTGTAGCTCTGGGTGGGTGAGCGAGGGGAAAGGTTGTGTGTTGGTGATCCCGGCACACTTTCTCCAGAAGAAAGGGATCGATTCAGAGAGGATAAACTTCGACTGGTGTGCAGTAATGATGCTTGCTTTGTAATCTTTCGGAAGAGAGAGCTTCTTTTCTTACTGTAAATTAAATGGCAAAAGTGATCATCTTAACACAGAAGAATCAGCTTTCCTGAGCACGGGAGATGGACGGGACAGCCAGTTTGTGCGCAGCAAAGTTCCACAAACAGCCGTAAAGTGAAGATTGATAAAAAAATAAGAGTAATCAAACTAAGCATCTGGATAGCTTGATTCCAGTCGTAATTTAATCTAACCCAGTAAAATAAGTATAAAATACAGAAATTCAATATTAAAAAAAATGAAACTTTAGATACTCGCTGTTTGTTGCATCTTTCACCCACTCCATCAACACCCCCTGTCTTATGATTTCTCGCTTTCCCTTGGGGAAAGAGAAATATTTTCTCTTTCCCCCAAGGGAAAGCGAGAAATCATGCGCTCAGCAATGCAGCTGTGGGGCTGAGTTTCATATCAACTCACATCAGCAAAAATGTAATAGCAAATTCGACAGCAATTGTTAACAATCAAATTATACGAGTCCTAATAAAAGTCAAAGTGTCCATTCAACAAAATACAGCATCGATAATTTTTAAATAACTCATTTTTATCTAGTTAGATCACAGAGCCCAGGGCTCATTTCTTTGCTAATTAAATTTAATTGTTTAAAAAAATAAGGAGTGTTAAACGGATAAAACTACAGTAGGAGTCGTGTCTGCTGTCAAAGTACCTTTCCTGTCCGTCTTTGACTTTGCCCTTCTTGTTCCTTCTCGCCATCTTTGACTTGTAGCTGGATCTCCGAGCCGGGCCGATTTTGATGGAGGTATTCTCGAAAGGAGTGGTCGATATGGACACCTTATTTCCACTCTGTTAAGCACAAGAGGATAGGCTGAACCCTAACAATGTTCGCAGCACAGAAGGAGGCTATTTCAAGCCATTGTAGATCAATGCAAGTACAGCAGGCTGGAGCTATTTACTGTGCTCTAATCTATCGACCTGCTCCTGCCCACACTTGCTCGTTGTTGAGTACTGTTATCTTTTCTCCTTTTTGAAATGGCACAAGAGAAATTGCCAGAGCCCTTGACAAAAAAAAAAATTCCTTATAGAACTAAAAGCTATTCGTGATGAAATGCTTAAGGGACTGATTTTCAGCACTCACAGACTCTATCCCAGCTGAGGTGCGCTACGTAAATGTAAGTAGGTGTTGACAATGCGACAATGTCTCTTGCGAACTTGTAGTTATTGGAGGTGCGGTCGCAGAAAGCTTCCTCAACAACGTGCGCTCGTGCAGGAGGCCGGCAAACTCCACGCCAGAAGCCAATGGAAAATAACTAGAAGTTCCCTGTCCCTACCTTCAATATATGTTCCACCACCTCTGTGTGCACCAGGCCGTGGACAGGCTCGCCGTTGACATGGGTTATCAGATCTCCTGCTCGGAGGCCAGCATCATGGGCTTGACCACCTTCCTCCACGTGCTGCAATACAATGGGAGAACAGGTCAAACAGAGAATGGAATGCACTATTATAAATAATAATCCTTGCATTGGATATAGAGCCTCATCACGTCTTCGAGACATCTCAAAGCGCTTCACAGAATAGACTGTAAAGTGAATTGACTGTGTATTTTGTTAGTCCAAGGTGCCAGTAAAGTGCGATCCAGTCTATTTCCCCTAACTTCCAGACAACGACAACAGATAAAACTGATAAAAACTAGATGAATGTACCCACCCACACCATGTGGTGAACCGTATAGACATCACTCTCTCCCATATACACTCGGATTGCTCTGAGAGTGAAGCCGTATTTCTTGCCAGCTCGGTGGATGATGATGGGAGGCTTCAGATTGTTCACTGCTGGGGAGAAGTCCCGGCTGGGCGAGGAATCCCGTGAGGACGGGTTGGACGACAATGAATGCGGTGACATAGGACTGGCTAAGGGGGAGCCAGCGTGATGATCTATAGTGAACATAAAGCATTGAAGCAATTTATTAAACATCGCACGTTCACAAGCTAACCGGCCACTTAGAAGGAAATAAAAGAATGCGAGGATCGTTATTATATTATTATAACATACACTTATCTTTATCGTGCTCTGATGCACAAGGATACTTCAGGGCTATCATACCGCCAATATTTTCACAGTACGCTTCTTTATAAAAGCAACAAGTCCAAAGTCATCAAATGTGCAAAAGTCCATTTCAACTGAAAGGTCAATTTGGCGAGATCCTACTCTAAAATAATGCTTACTGTTGATAATACTTGCAAGAGGAAAACAAGGGTAATGAACATTGGTATTATTATTTAAAAAGGAAAATCAGTGGCATTAATGGAATTGAGAATTGGATGAGCAATACAATACTGATTTGAATTTTCAGAGTATTGGGGAAAGGGTTAGGATACTGATTTGGGTTTCACTTACAAATGCCTCCACACAGCTCATTTTTGACTGTGCCATTCATTAAGGTCGCTCACACCACCAGCCAAAAGTAATCCACGTATCCAGAACAACTGTTTGCGGTAATTAAACAAAGCGGACAGTTTAATGCTATAATTAAGGATTAATACTTCATGTTTAATTGTTTGCTTTATTGACAGCTTTACAAATAGCTGAAAGAATGCAGTGTATTGTGGATCAATATCACAGCGGCTAATCCTGGGGTCGTCCTTGCTAATGAAAAGACTGAGCTGCGAGCAGAATCGATAAAACATTCCAACTCGAAGTGCAGCCTGGGAAAGTAACCTTAATCCTCACCTGAAGGAATCATAAGAGACAAAGCGGTTGCAGAAGCTGATTTTATCACTTTATTGACAGGCCTGGAGGTGCGCTTCTCAGTCGATTCCCCAGAAAGTAGTCTGTGCCGAGCTCTTCGGACGGCGAGGTCACTGATTGCTTTTGGAGTAGAAGAGTCTGATCCCTCAGTGCTGTTGCTTCGGGACCTCTGATCCCACAGATCAGCCGTGCTGCTGGCTGCAATACAAATTGCACCTCATTAAAGAAAGACACATTTTGATGGAGCTTACTTTGCTGGAGGCAGAAATGAACTTTAGAACAACTCCCCCCGCCCCCTCCCACCCCCGCAAGAGATGAGATTTTTTTTTCCCCCTCATTGAGAACCGTCGTGAGATTTTTAGGCCACTTCAGAAATAAACTGAGATAAACTGGCAAACTCAATTCTATGAAAAATCTAAATCAACCTACACGTGCACTCTTAATCGCAGTACATTTACTCTACAACAACAACAACAGCAGCAGCAGCAGGAGTAATTCTACATAGGTATTTCTGTGCGACTGATTTCACACCTGCAATTAACAACGCAGTGAACTCGTAGTCCACAACACAGTCTTTGTTGTGCCAATAAATAGGGCAGTGAGATGGGGTCAGATGGGTCACCCTCAAGGGAACGAAAGGAAATGATCAGTGAGAATAGTCACTGGCAACCTGTTTTGAAAGGATCAATGTGAGGGATTGGCAGAATCGTGGGAATAGATTGTGAGTCCTGGCTGGTTAAACACTGTAGAATTTGATTCTCATTTTAAAGGCAAAAGGCTGATTCCAACAACAGACCTGTGGGGTTTGGCTGATTCTAGGCTGGCCTGTCGTGGATTGAAGTGACCAATTTAGTATTGCTTTTAAAAAAATATGGTGGTGAACAGCACAACAGCATATAGCACGGCATCTGTGACCCAGATATACTGGCTCCAACAGAACAGAACTGTAGAAAAATCAGACTCCGTGCATTAAACTGGCTGCTGTTAGACAGACAAACCAGATGCATCCAAAGAGATGACACCTTTAAACACCAGCTCAGGTGCGGCTGTTCAAAGACTTGGGACGCTCGCCTGAAGTGAAAGGCGCTAAACAAATGTCATTTGTTGTTATTGTTGGAAAAGGATGGCTTTATAACCAGCTGTCGTCCTTTCATACAATTAGGCGATGAATGAGTAATATTTCAGATGGTCAGATTCCAAAGTCCAAATACTGGGAGAGAAGGTAATGCTCCGGTTGGGATTAGCTTTCGAAGTGTTACCCTCGGGTCAAGGATTCTATTAATTGAATTAATTCAGAAGTGACTTGCTGAATGAAAATGTTCAGCTCAATTAGGTAATGCTGCTTATCTGCAGTCAGCTGCGGTGTTATGTCCTTGGCTTTGCAGGGTGTGAATTACCAGTTAGGGTTGAGCTGCTGATGTTACTGATTGTCGAGGAGGGGGTAGCAGGACTGACATCCCCCTCCAGCGCTGGGCTTCTCTCCGAGGGCTGCTCGGGGATCGTAAGGGACGCCTCTTCCCGCGCCCTGGCTGCTTGCTGCCTCCTCCCCTCCTCCTCCGCAGAGATGGCAAAGCGCGGCATCTCCATCAACGTGGAACACCGTCTCCTGACTGTCAGCGGAGGGCTGGAGTCACTCTCTGTGTGGGAGGACTCTGACAAGGACATTCGCTTTCTGATACTGGGAAGGAAAGATGGGGAATTAGTCACAAAGTCCTATAAAAAGGCAATAAAACTTGTGTAAAGCACCACAGGGTGGCAAGTGCCGAGATCAGTCGGTTGTCTGAATAAGTAAACCACACGTCTGTATTGGTTGCTGGAGCAAATGGCTATTCTTTTGAAGCATCAGCCCCAGTACTTACTTGTCTTCTCCAACATAGATAATGGCCATTTACACAAAACAACTGAGGCTTCTGCAAACGCTACATACCGTACATGCACAGAAGTCAATGCAATTTTATCTTAAAAGTCAATCGCAGACTTGATTTCTCCTGGATACCCAACCTTTCATTTGCCGACGAAACAAAAAGCCTTTATGATCCCTAGACTTGTGTCATCGCCTTCAATCCCCACAGCAAATCGTTTTTCCCACACATTTAGATAAAATCATACAAAGAGAAGCTGAATTCTTCCCTCTCCCACATACAAATTAGAATAAAAAAAACAATTTCATCAAAATTAAACTAGTTCATGAATGAGACTACAAACAAGTACAATAGCTTTGCCACCAAAATCTATATCAATGAGTGAAGCCACTCCAAATTTGGAGCAGAGAGCCAAATCAGTGAAAGGTGCAAGCTGTAATTACTTTGTGCCCAAGTCAGTGCCTAAAGTTAAATGAATTTTGGATCGTGGATCACGGAGACAGAACGGTTCTGCACGAGACAGCAAACATAAACTACAGTTTAGGTGAAAGTATCCGTGTTAGAGATTTCTCTTGTTGTGTGCCACAGGGAACCTCCTTTCATTCTCACTCAATGTCTTTTCAAATGGAATTTTATATTCCGCTGCCTCAAATTTTCTAAGGAAACGGACGTGTAGACAGTTATGGGCATACACTGTATACAGTGAGAGCTGCCCTTAAGCTTTAAGCCTCTTGTCTGAGCCACCTCACATCAGTCCTAACTAATTGACGCTTTAATCCATATCGGAAGACAAACCTCCTCAGTCCCAAAAGGCAATAATTACAGACTGACATTACTGGACAGATGTTTATAAATATCAACACTCTTAACTTGAGCAGGTCCTGAATTTCTACGAGGCAACACATTACTCGATCTGCTTTCTTCCCTCCAATCTCTCAATTTGACAAGTTCCTGTAGACTCACATTTCAGGAGAGCTAATTATCCAGCTCCGATCTCGGGTCTTCAGGCCACTGAGGCCGTCCAACTTGTCAATCTTGTCTTCTTTTTCCTCACTCAAGCTACGTTTGGTTGGAGGTGTTTTCTTCTCTTCGTGTATTGAAAGCCGCTCCATGCTACTGTAAACCTAAGAGATACATACAGACATGTTAATTGTCTCACTTCATGTTGCCTTGTGGCAGAGGCTAGTTTTGTGATTTTGTTGGGGTTTTTTTAACTAAAAAAACAGTAACAAATATCAAACCATATAGTTCATAAATGTATCTTCTAATGTATTGCAATTTATTATTATCAAGCCTATACATAGATTACACCACGTTGAGTCAGTAATAGACAGACAGACAGACAGTCGAAAAGACACAAAAGGATCATCGAGAGAATGAGAGGGACCGAGAGAATGTTAAGACAGAGTCGGAGAGAAACAGAAAGACAGTCAGCAAGAGAATGTTAGAGACAGAGAGAGAAAATCAGAGAAAGTGTCGGACACAGCATCAGAGACAGAAAAGGGTGAGAGGAAAGGTCATAGAGAAAGAGAAGTTGGGGGGGAGGAGGATTGTCTGTACAGTGGCAGTATAGGTCCTCATGGTAGAGTTTTTGGTTAATGAGGCACATTTTTTGTGATGGGCTGATATCCACCCGTTTTATACTCACTAAGATGACAGTTCCAATTAGTTGGACCTTGGGCTCTCTGATAGATTGTAAAAAAGAGTTGGCATTGGTTGTCACGTGCAGCGATGTGTACTTACCTTGCTGAACCTGGGTGAACACGATGAAAACTGCCTGATTTCCACACGGTCGTCATCATTCGTGTCATCTTCCTCATCAGAATCGAGGTGATGGTACCGGTCTGAGCGAGCTGCGCCAAGAAAGAGGAATGAAAACAATGCCCAACACTGCACACAAGTCAAGTTAAATTTACTCGCTGTGCAACTCATCAGCCAGAAGTGAAATGTCACTTCATCGCCAGATATTTGTAAAAACATAACAGTAAAGATAAGCAAACGGAGACTTGGGTAAAAAAATAACCTTTTTTCCTGATTGTACAGACAGCTTTTATTTTACTATTTATTAGCTATTCACAATAATAGTAATAACTTGAACTCTTCCTAATTTGTTTTTGTAAAGCATTTTTTGGTCAAATCAGGGCAAAGAGGCTTCTCTGACGAGCATGAGGAAGCTGAAATAACATCAGCAGATGTACTCATTACACAAGACGCTTCGAAGATCGTGTAATTGCAGCTGTGAGTGTTAATACAACTCTGAGCTGCCTCACTAACTCCTCCGGCAGTTTCCTGATGCGGTCAGAAATTTGATAATAAATAACACATTTATTTCCAGAAGGAAAACAGGGCCATGAACAAACTATTCCAAAGTTAGTCACAGTTCCTTGTAAACGTATTATTTTTGAGCGCAGCAGAAATTGTGCATTTCCGTTCTTTAACGTCACACCTCGGATTCGTTTGATGAAATTACAGAGAAATCTGCAATAGCTTATCAGTGTCTAATAGGCCAGCACACTGTCTCCACATCAGAGCCAGAACCAGAGACTACGTACTGTCAAAGTAACTTGTGTCATCTTCGGACTCCAGCTGAGGAATGAATTCGGCTTTCTGGCGGAGCAGACTGTTCCAGTCTAGGTCTGTGAAGAAGCGATGCTGTTTTACCTCATAGGCACTGCCTGAAGAAAACAAGCAGCCATGATTTACGTTATGAAGAAAACAAGTTTCCTGTTCTAAGTGTAATGTGGTGCTCCAATAAGCGCTCTGGGACGCTACCCTGCGTGAGGGGCGCTATATAAATGCAAGTTGTTGTTGGTGGTGGTGATGCAGTTCAGAAGCCAGCAAAGGGCCAGCAATCTGAAGCCAACTGGGTTACCGAAATCAACAATGACAGTCCTTCACAAGCCAATGACTGGATTGGATCTTTTTAAAATTAAGTACACTTAAATGTCCAATTTTCGAAACAAAAAAAACAACGCAGTAAGTCACAGACTCTGCAAATTAGTTCATGAGAAAAAAGTATGGCTAGATTCAAGGCAGGGATTAAGCACTTTACATTCTATTTTCTTCCAGTGTGGTTCCAGAATCTCAAGACTGTGAATATATATTTAGGTTTATTCCAAAATGTGTTTTTTCTGTTCATTACAATTTCACACATCACCAGCATGGAATATTCTTCTGGGGTTTAAAACAATAATGATAAACCTTACCTGTACCAAGTCGTTCCATTGGGTTTTGCCTCAACAGCTTTGAGATGAGGTCCTGGGCATCAGGTGGTAAGGCATCATCCCCATCAGGCCAAGCTATTTCATCTAAACCATTAACAAAAGGTAATAATGCAACATTTTACATTTTGCATGAAATAAGTTGGTGATTACCCACCTGGAATATCACAATTTAAGAAGCTCTGATTTTCATGCAAAATAATTCATGTATTACTGAAATCATGTCGAGACTGGTGAGTGTTCAGATGCTCTTTCCTTTATGTACTCTTTGAAGCTCAATACAAGTTTGTGCCTTTTTTGAAAGGATTTATGCATACATCCTAGTCCAAATGTCCATGAACATTTGCTATAGCATCTTATCATGTCACCAAGACATCTCAAAGCACTTCACAGGATTTATTGTAAAGTAGGAGTTCCCAAATTGGATCTGAAGACTCTGGGAGGGGGGCACAAGATCACTTTGGGGGAGGGGGGGCGGGAGGAGGGCAGGATTGACAGACACACTTGTTGGCCAGCGCATTCTCAAAAGCCAGAAAAATTAATGTTTACTAACATTAAAAAGTCCTTCAAAAGTTATTGGGTTTTCACTGGCAGTATAGATGAGGTATTGGACATGAGATGTATTCACGATGTGTCAGATTTGTGATGCTTCACTGATAATATTCTGGTTCCCAGAAACAATAGCAACGACATAAGCGCAGAGACTATTTTTGAGACTTCTTTTAGGTAGAAATTCAATGCTCTGACGACATAGGGGTTTGGCAGGAACAAAAGACAAAACTTAAAAATGCAACTCACCACTTATCACTTGTCCAAACAGTTCCTCTGGAGTGTCTCCAAAAAAAGGCACACATCCCACCAGAAACTCATACAGGATTATCCCCATCGCCCACCAGTCCACTGGCTTCCCATAACCTTGTCGCAATATTACCTCAGGAGCAATATATTCCGGAGTGCCACATACCTGCACCAAATGTTAAAAGATAACAATTTAAAGCATCAAATTTTTAGCCATTTTCTCTTTCTGTCGACATTTTGCACACCGTTGCACTACTATTTAAAACATACAGCCAAAATAATGTTATTCAAAGATTATATTGTCAACTCTGAACTATCTTTCTTTTTTTAATTCCAATGGACATTGTTCAGCACCAAAGATGCATAGGAATCAAACCTGGAAAAAATTGAGGAAATCCCAGAAAGCCAGAAGAGACATTGCACTGATCCAATCTCTATAAATGCCATTTCATCATTTAACTTCCCACCTAATACCAGAAATTGCACAGTGGTTTGATTGGTTTGTTATAAGGAGATTAACACCTCTTGTACTCCCAAGATGATAATTTGACAGAAATAGGTCAGCGTAAAAAAAAAACTAGCAAAGATGCTGAACAGGACAGCTTTCTTATTTGCCAGCTTATCGACTGGGTTTTTTCACCTGCTTGTCGAGAAATTCTCTGGCATCTTTTTCAATGTGCCCTTCGTACAGATTGGTGGTGAGACTCATCAGTCCAATCTTCGAAAGCCCAAAGTCTGTCAGCTTGATGTGACCCATTGAAGTGATAAGCAGACTGTAGGAAGAAAGAAATTCGACAGTCAGTAGTGAAAGTCATTTCATGTCTCGTGCTGTACAGCAAAACTGCCAATAATATTTCCAACACATACTGGCGGTTCAAATTCCCTGGGTAACAATTGCAAATTACCTCAATGAACTAGTAGCAATAACGTCAAACTGTCAATACGTCAAAAAGGGGCTTCCTCTCAGATATATTACTTAAATATTTATTTAAATGTTTATTTAAATATTTATTTAAATATACTGATTTATTTGCCATTATATGTTCTAGATATATTTATTGTCTAATTAAAAAATGGCAAACATATGAAATGAAAAAGATGGTCAGAAGATGATGACTAGAATGATCAAGCGTGCATCTCCAGATAAAGAAATCTCTGACATAATCAAGCTGTTTATATCCAGGAAACCGAGAAAGTCTAAGAACTGTCCATTCAAAACAACCAACTACTTTCAGTCTTAAAAAAAACCCAACATATTCTACGTGTCATGAAATTATTGATTTTCTGGTCCCATAGACCAGTCGTTTTCAGGTCTTTTTTCAGTCAATTCTGTGACATATGTCAAGGGCAATGGTTGAGGTTTTTTTGAAGCTGTTATAACAGAGCCATCTGAAAAGTAGCTAAAAGTCTCTCGTCCAGACAAAACACAGACCACTGGCTCGAAAATGCTGCATTATCAATTAACAGGTGCTTCCTCAGATTGGGCTGCTCTAGGCCAGGTGTCAGATGGCTCTGAAATGGCAGCGCTCCACAGGCCCCCCACCCCCATTCGCTTAGATTCATGCAAACACCTTTTACTGGTGGTTCAACAGTGACATTGGTTAAAACGCTAGGATTTGGGCATCAAGCACTGCTTTGGCGATGAACTGTAGTAGTAAAGTGCTGCGTTTTAAAAAGTAAAAACAAAATAAAGAATAATATGCATCCTGCCCCCACCCACCATCCTCAAGGAATAAATGATCTCCTTTATGATGTCCAGCCCCTTGGGAGGTCCTCCCGACGTGAAAGGCACTATACAAATGTAATTTTGTATTGTATCTGCTACAAAAACGTTTGTACAACATCTAATAGTAAGGGATTTTACAAGATAACTCAACATCTGTATTAATCGACACAGACAAGGTGACCTTGAGGCATCCACGTTAACAGCCTAGGAAAATGAGACTGCTTTTCTTCCTCTCGCTTCTCCCCTCTCCCAGTGAAGGTCTGCTGCTTAACAACTGGAATGAGAACTGCTGAAACCAACTCGATGTACCTGTAGCGTTATCAAATGGCTAAGATGCTGTTATGGGGTAGCACTCAGCCTATAGATCAATTAATCTGCTGGTATCCTGAATAACACACACAACCTCTCCAAACAAGAGTTTGGCCTAAAAGCAGTCTGGTAGAAATCAGTGAGGGGGCTTCTTGGCACAAAGTGGAAAATGTCGTACTTGTCTGGTTTGAGGTCGCGATGAACGATGCCATAATTGTGCAGGTATTCCAAAGCCAGCACTGTCTCTGCAAAATACATTCTGGCCATTTCCACCGGCAAAGCACCAATGTTCTTCAGCAATGTTGCACAGTCACCGCCTGCGGTGTCGAGGAAAGAGGAAAGATGATGCAGTTACAGAAATACTTGCAAACGTCGGCAACGGTGTGAATCTATATGTGCAAGCAAATCCCGTAATTTGCTCGAGTCCCTCCCGAATGCAGGATTTTTAGCTATGGGGCACTGCAGAAATAAGCACGTCACATGCTATTCATAACGCTGCACCTCAATAAGTTATTATTATATTATTATAAGTTATCAAACGTTATCAAAATGATGCAAAAATGAATTTGCGGCGAGTTGAAACTGGGTTGACTTTGGCATTGCTTGGATGAGAAATCCCACTTGATGTTCAAAATGGCTTTTGACCAGGCGCACTTGTAACAGGAGGGTTTCCGATCACCACCCTATGTTAACCTTGTGCTTCAAAGATACGGACGAGTTCCGTCAGTGCATTCTCACAGCGGGTGGAATCAGACTGGAGTGATGAAGAAAATGAAGCTGGGCAGCAAAAGGCTGACACCCTTCTGAAAAGGTCACATCGCCACTTGAACTTGGCCACCCTGACCATCATTCCAACAGATTGTGCAACTTCATACACGCAATTCAGCCACTAACCTTCAACGTACTCGATGACCATGCAAAGGTGTCGCTTGGTGTCGAAGGAACAGAACATGCTGACCACAAAGGGGTTTTCAGCAAAGGTTAAGATGTCTCTTTCAACAAATGCTTGTTGGATTTGGTTCCTTAAGATCAGGTTTTGCTTGTTGATTTTCTTCATGGCAAATCGTTGTCGTGTTTCTTTATGCCTCACCAGATAGACAGCTCTGAAACAAATGCACCATTTTCAAACAGTGATTTTTTTTACCACTTACTCCTACTTCATACAGACTTAAAGATAACACAAGTCCTTATCAGAATACAACACACCAGAAAATGCTTTGAATAGGTGTTAGATCCATTCCTTGAGTCAAAAAGTCTTACTTATGGCATACATCCTTTTGACAGCAACATAAAATTTGCCTAAATTGCTCAAGCAAAACTGTAAATATACACCAAAAATATTTCTAACATAGAACACGTAGCCTTTTCTCCATCATTTCCATATAGGAAATTGGAGAGCACAGAATATTTAATCTATCAATTTGAGATGAGTTGCCAGAGTCTGATTTAAATAGGATACACGAGTGAAAAGCCATTCACCACCAACTACAGATTAATTTATGACCTTCGCAGTCTTTTCCTTTGCCTTAAGCACTGGATGCATTTCAGAGAAGTGCACTTAAAGCTTAATTTCCAAGGAGAGGCTCGCAGAGCTGAGTTGGTTCTCAGAAAAAACAGATTGAGACGAGGACATGATTCAGGAGTCTTTATAATGGTGAGATGCCTGATTAATAAAAAAGTGAACAGGCATTTGACTTTGTTTCTGAAATCAGAACTAGAAGTCATAGATTTAAAGCTAAAAATCCTCAAGCCTGGAAACCAGGAGACATCTCTCTCCAAGAATTGTGAATGTGTGGTACAGAGGTCAACAAAATTGGTTGATGTAGGATTGGCTAACTCATTAAAAAGAATTGGATTAAATGGCTGCTTCAGAACAGTAGAGATAGGCACTGACTTAGATGACAAACTGTCCCAAAGATACAATGAGTTCTGTGCTGCTGGGGAAATTAAAAATATTAATATTAAATAGGATTAAAATAATATTGAAAATATTATTATGATCCTCAAGTGCCGAAAGGGGACCTTCAATGATCGTTCCATTTCAGATCCGTAAAATAAATCAGCTTCCATAGCGACTCCCAAGATTTTTCCCTTGAAAATATCAACTCTCTCTTCTTAAGCAGAACAATTAACAGAGACAAAGAAAATCCTAGTTGTCGGCGATGCAATTCCTTACCCATAGGCTCCGTTGCTGATCAGCTTAAGGTTTTCAAAGTCTTCCTCACACGGCGTTTTCTTTGTGTGAACTGCAGCACCTCGACTCTGACAGCAATTAAAGAAATCATCAGGTAAACTTACACTCTGCCACCAAACTACTTGTACATCGCCCCGAGCCAGGCCCATGGACAGGGAAAAATAGAACGATTAACAAAGGAAGTGAAGCTCGAATGTGTTTTTTATATTAAAATCTCGCAGATTCTATGCTGTTCTATTAACATTCGCACAAAGCAAATCGTAAGCTTAAAATTGTGAACAGCAATTTAGACAGATCAAACGTTCTTAAGGATTAAATTATAACTTTTGTGACGTTTACAATTGTATTTTTACAATTGTAACAATCATTGTTGAAGTGGGTGACGCTTTATTCCTTATTGTAGTTGACCGTCAATACTTACATCGACAGAATCGTCAGTCTCTGGGGTTTCTGAATTACCACTGTCATAGCTACTTAGCTGGGCCATTTCTAGGAGAAGCAGAAGCAAAACATTATTTGCACAAGGGAAATGGAAGACAAGTGCCTGGGGATGTCCTCCCGAGGTGTAAGGTGCTATATACATGTCAATTTGTATTGTATCGCATCGACACACAGTGAACCTCAAAACGACAAAGTTTACATCAACTCAATCGACTTGAAATTGCCGAGGCTGGCTTTATAGTTTATTAAATGCCGCTGTATGTCCAAAGTAGGGAGAAATTACTGGTAACAATGTGGTTAAACTGTAATCAATTACCCAAATGCTCGACAGACAATCTCGATTGATCATCAATTCTGATTTTTCAATAATAGTTCCTGCCTTTTGTTCGAGAAATAATTATTATACTTAAAAAAAACTTGTCAATCCTTTTTTGAAAATAATACAATCTGGACAATTTTTCGGAATGCCAGTTCGATTAAATATAGGATAAAAACAGACGTTTTAAAATATTCTGGTGTAAGGACCAGTATAATGCTACAAGTTTGCCCAGCATCTACTTTCAGGCCAAGCACTGATATTGGAATCTTCCTATTGAATTCCCCTATTTACAGTTAACACTCTGAAAGTTAACATGAATCTTCTAGATTTGCTGATGGAAGTAAATTAACCCGAGTGTGCACAGCTCACATTACATGCTGGGACATTCTTATTTGGGAGCCAGCAATAATGAAAGGTGGATTCCATTTGAAACTGCTGTGCCAAAGTTAATGCACCTCCTCTCTGGTAACTTAACCCAAGCGACCACTCCTCATGGGCGAGTGTGTGTGGGCCGGTGGGAGAGGATACCAACCAAGATACCTTGCCCAATGTCCGCAGATGTGCTTTAGAGTAGAGCTCAATGGCAAAGGAGTAAATTGAAGCAACTTAACACGGATTGGAGATAGCAACCTGAATCGTTTGGGTCTGCTTGAGTTTTACACTAGGAAGTGGCCTCAGCATCTGAACCATTGGAGGAGACAACACATTTTCTTCTCTGTAACTTTATCCATATCCAAAACAAATGCCACGTTAGCTTTAAGCCTAACCCTGAGGAATATCACTCTGCGCTGCACAAACACCGGTATGACCCACGACGAGGGAAACCTAAAGTAAAAAAATCTGGGTCAGAATATTTACTTTCAAAAGTCACCTACCCTCCAAGGGATCCCTGGTGAGCCCCAGCTGATTGATAATGTAGCGGGGAATATCAGTCTTAATTCCTTGTCCTTCTTTGGCATGGCCTTCAGCTGCTTCCAACAAATGATAGAATTCCTCTGGATCAAACTCCTAGAAACAGGAAGTTGGAGTTGACCCAACAATAAGCAATAACAGTCACAAAAGCCAACATAAGAATATTGTAAGAGTACTCTGTATTGGGATAACGGAGGTGTCCGTGTTAATATTTTGTATGTGTTCAGCAACAACCCCCACGCTTTAATCTACTACTACTAATAATAATAATACTACTCCTTGTCTCTGTAATGAGTCTCACTCAACACTGGTGTTAAAATGTTCATTTCAAAAGACATGTTTTTTTTTCACGCAGCTCTCACCCGTTTTAGCCACGTGCTCTTGAGCTAACAGAAAAACTAAGCTATTTTTTCAAACTATTGACATTCTAACACGGGTTGTGAATTTTAACACCATCATCATCATCATCATCATCAGACCTTGCTGAGACTCACAATGAATCTGGTACATACTTTTTTTAAAAAAATCATTGATGTTCACGCAGAAACATAAACTATAATTTCGAACAGTTCAAGTCCCTCTAGGAGCTAATCCATTGCAGAAATTAACAGACTTTCTATTCATCATTGTCGCGATCAATAAGCCTCAAAGAGCCTTGCAAGACTCTGTACTAACGCACATGAAATTGGCTTTGCTGAGATGCTCCATCACATACTGTTGATTCCCCCACAAAGTACGGCAGCACATTTAATGCTGTGCAAATTGTGTAAAAGGGTCAGTATGTAAGAATTGATTCCATACACACTGATTGTGGAGCAGAGATGCCAATAATAGACAACATGATTGTTACAGGAAACGGAAGCTAATACCATCTGTCATTTACTTGCCAGTTGCTATCTTGCCATGTTTCTGAAAGGACTGAGTAGAGCACATATAAGGTCAAACGAGTTATTTATCTTTGTGAAGTTACAAGTCTTCTTAAACTCCATGCAGTTGTGCTAAATCTGACCGCAGAAGGTAGAAGAACCAGAGGGTAGAATGTTCATCTCTGAAACAAGTGGTTTGGGCTGCAATTTTTCCCCGTGTGATTTATCACTGGTAGTAATTATCACATCACACGGTGCAGTTTTCTCGCACTTTCATCCCCACAACCAACCATAATATTTTCGTGAAAAAGGTGGTTTGAAAAAGAACAATCCCTTGACTACATAACCCAGGTCTCCCTGTTTAAACATTCCCATCTTTCACTGGGATCTGTGCACTAGAGGAGATGAAAGACCCCATCTGGTGTCTCATTAAGCATCCAGATCAGGAAAAAAGAGAGTTGCAGGGAGTTTGATAGCCGAACCTCTGCAGTGTTCAAACCGATCCATGTTACTATAACATAAACAAACAGAAGCTTGTATCCATCTCCTTCCACTAGTTAGGCAACAATTATTAGGAAGGAAATGGAATACTATTGCTCTGATGCATAATGACTTTGGAAGGAAAGTTTATTATGACGGCTGCAGAATATATTGTAAATACACCTTTTTTGGTTTGTTTCAGGTAGAGAAATTTATTCGGTTCTTTTCACTTCCTCCTCCCTCCCCAATCCTCTAAAGATTTTAAGAAAAGGTCATACATCTGTTTCCTTGCCTCCAAAAGAGAAGATTTTTACATGCGGGATGAAACACTGCCAAACACTGCATTTAGGAAGACTGCTTTATGCTAAAGGTCTGGCTGCGAAAAGACATCAGTATAATATGCCTTATATTTGAGTGTTACAGCACAGTAATGAGTCAAAGTCTGCATTTTGTAAACAAAGGAGTACCGCATCTAAAGGGAACATGTACACAGACATCAGAGTGAAATGCTTTCCTACACTAGACTCACACTGTTATATTAACCCAGAAAAGTCAGTCCTTTAGAACAGTTATTAGAATTTACCTTAATTAACAAAAACATTTATGGCTGCGAAATATTACCGAGTAGCCAATATTGCCTGGTTTAGCAAATATAAATATCCTGAAATATATTTATTATTGTTCTCAAACAGTCCACAAATGGTTAAGTGCATATCCTTCCTTGTTTAAGTGATCAATGCTGGAAGAAAATTTGCTCAAATTACGAAGTATATTAATATTTTCTTCAACAAGAATTTAGCCTTCTGATCAGTCAGACCCTTAAACCTTTTAGATTACTGAGAGAGACCTTAACTTTTAAACTTAATGACCGTTGCCACAGCTGGAAATGCCCCTTATTAAAATCCTAGAAACAAAAAGCTTTAATGAGGAAACGTGAAAATTCCCAAGCAAGGTACGCTCATTCTTTCTAAGTTTTCTTGGAATAAACTTCAGTGTTTTTTTTAAAAAAAAGTCTTATTCCATGCTCCAGTGCGTATTCTCATTGACTAACAAAGGACTGGCAGCCTGCGATGACTTGTTTGCAGTCACAATTTCAAAAGAATAAAGTACCAGATTCGGGCACTGCTGCAAGATAATTGCCAGAGCAGTGAACGAGAAGTTATAGCCAAGAAATCATATTAGTCTGACAAAAACAATCAATGTGATACATTGCCAAATATTCTGGCGATCTCAATGCAACACTTGCCAGTGAATCGAAGGACAGCTGCTTTCACACCTCTGATCTGTCTTCGGTCCCTGAACAACATTGCGATCAACAACTCCCTTGGTTAGAAATGGGATTTGGCTGAAATCAGGCTCCTGCAGCCCTCAAAAGGCCAATACACTGTGACTGTCTTTCCTTCTGGCTGTTTTTTTACCTCTGCGCGTTTGAAATCTGTCACAGAACCTCAAACACCATTAGCCCAAAGTCACAGATTCATTTGTATTCACCTATGGACCTATCCCCACAAATCTATTCAGTGACACAGTGAGAATTGCTTGGGAAGTGGGGAGGGGGAGAATTAATGTAACATACATCTCTGTAGTGTCTCGATGCATTCATTTATAACTAATGTAGGTTTGATTTAAGAGCTGCTTCATGCGATTCGGAGGGAAGATTGGCAAGTTGAGAGACGGCAGCAGCTACACAAGCCAACCTGGTCAGATACGATTACATCAGATTATTTTAGAGCAATTTACAATCCAAACAATGTCGGCCCCTATTTTATCTGAAGGTAACAAACAGCGTCTCCATTTTTTTCCCCACAATACAAAAACTCAATGCAAGACACCAGCACAACACAGCTGTGCGATTTTGTACCTCCCATGGTTATGTTTGGCCTTGAATATTATCTCTCTCTTGTCTCTATTGTGCGGACACATATTTATTGATAGGCGCACAGGTACAGACAGGCGTGCACGCAGGGTTAACTCTCACCAGACACTCGAGCAAACGTGCTGGTCGTGCGATAATGATCATCAGCTTCTTCACCAGCTGGGTGACAAATGCTACCTCGGAACTCTCTGACCTTTCGTGGGCCTGCAAGATAAAAGCCACATTAACATTTCAACAAGGGCTGTGCTAGCTAAGGCATGACAATTTATTGCTGCAACAAAAAAGAATCACTTAATGCACAAGCGTGCCACACCCCCCCTAACTCAGGTCTCCAAAACACAACCTTTAATGCAAACAAAAGTAAGGAAACTTAACTTGTCTGCCGCAACCTTCGTGTATTTCTGGTGCTCCAAAATTCTCAGCAAAACCTCGGCTTGCTCAAAGGATAATCCCGGCATCTTGTTTTGATCGAGTTTAAAGCCCTTTTGAAACATGCTGCATTGTATGGCAAATTCTCATTTGCGACTGCAAGTAATGCCCTGAGCAGCAGCCACACTCTCATTAGCATCGGAGGCTGATGTCATGCTTATCTGAGGAATGCCAATGTCATTCCTATACACAGCGAAGCCCAATGACATAATCATCAGCCAAACAATTTACTAAGGCAGGTTAAGTTATACTCTGTCTGAAACACCATCTGTCACAAACAGTAATCACCAGAGCACGAAATTAAAATGACCATCATGCTTTCTCTCCCTCCAGAGGTTTAAGCCAGACAAGTGAAGAACAATAATAAAGGTGTGTGTCTAAAGGGACCATTAGGAATGCAACAAACAGTTTTTTTTAATATGGAAAGGACACGAATTCAATAGCCATTTTCATGTCCCTCAATCTTTCCTATCAGACGGTTTTGTTCACTGTTCTTTTCTCATTTGTTCCTGGAGAGTTCTTTTATCTATTTTTTTAAAAAATACTTCAACTTGACAAACTGTTGTAAAGATTGTTCAGGTGTTTTCAGAACAGATTACCTGAAATGAGCAAACATCGCAACTTTGCCAGATCAGAACATGCTGATTTCTAGTGTTACTGAAAATCAGGTGTACATTAAATTACGTTCAATTACGTCACTACAATTTATGTTACAGCATAGCCTGTGAATAATCTGGCTTTTAAAGCTTTGATAGACTGGAATGAGTTCAGAGTAACTGAACGTTAAACAATGAATCATCATTCACACGAACCTATGAGTTATTTTCCAATTTCAAGTGGAAAACATAACAAAAAGTTGATTATCACAGGTCTAGCGTTCCTTACAGGCTATAAAGCAGATGGATACTTTAGTCGTCTCTCCATCAACAGATACTAGTTTATTACGGAATATATACTTCTGTATATAAAAGGAGTCCTGAAGCTCAGTGGTTAGAGCACTCGCCTCGCAAGCGAGAGATCTGTGTTCAATTCCCGGCAGATCAGGGCGAAACCTTGGGCAAGTTTCCTTACTGCACACACCTGATAATGATCCCTCAAGAAACTAAATAAATAAAATAGCAATTTGGTCACTCAATCCACAACTGTCTGTGGGGACGCTGCTGTGCACAATTGTCTGCCGTGTTTCGCTCACAGATATACAGTCAATTCACTTTACAGTATATTCTCTGAAGTGCTTTGAGACGTCGAGAAGACGTGAAAAGCGCTATATCAAACGCAAGGATTATTATTAATATACTTGGTTGGTCAAAACACCATTTGATACAATACTGTAAGATATTTTACACGCTGCAAAATATCCCACAGCAGCAGATATCTCAGTGTCTAGGTTCTTCAATAGTAAAATTCAGTCAGACACACACATCACTTCTGCAGTTAATTTTCATCAACCCAGAGAGAGATCCTGAACTCAGTTTCACTTCCTATGAATCATAGGCAGCCTAATCAGCCACTATAACTCAGGTATGAATGGTTTAGTATTCTGATGTCAAACCCTGTGTTTAAAGAACTGCTGCAGATGATAACATTAACCTTGAGTTCCTCATTCAATACGATTTTTTTTAAACTATTATTGTTCCCACGTGTATTTTGGGGGCATTGTGTGTATAAAGATGGCAGACTTCTATACTTAAAAATAAGAAATGGAAGATTTTCAATTCTCCACACTCACGTCCTTCGTACGATATCAAAGAGTTTTAAATTCTCGTAAATAAAAATGTGATTTAAGACTGGGAATCAGACTGGTTCTTCTTGTACACCTGTGGGGAGGGGGGAGAGAGAAAACCTGAGAGCAAATGGGCGGGGTGGGGGTGTAAGGATCTTTCTGCACCCATGAACAAACTTGATGAGCAGAACTAATAAGTACTGTATAACCAATCCACTGAAATCACGTTTGCCAAGTTTGGCATCTAAAGCAGATCATGTGTCCACATCATCGGTTGCAAATAGTGCATTTTATGATCAGAAAATAGCTGGGGAGAAAAACAGAAATCTAACTCGTTCAAAGAAATAGCAATTTACAATTTGAGTCCCAATGTGATTGAAAGCAGCAACCAAACATTTAGGATGGAGTGAGCTCGGTTCAACCAAATCAATAGTCTGGTAGCCTTGAGCTACCGGTCTGCTGTCAATTCTGGCTCCTAATTCAAATCAATATTCACCCAAGTCCTCGTAGAACTAAAAACGAACATCAGGGCCACAAGGCTTTAATCAACGGTGTGCTGTGAGTCTTTGCAGACCTAATGCAATTTCACCCAAGAACTGGGAGGTCAATACCTGAGGATTTAAACGGTCTGAGATTTACACCATACAATGGCCCACATCAGAGGTGAGCCCAAACCCAAGAAGGATATACACACATGCTAAGTTTCTCAATGTTAGTTAATTCTCTGTTGATAGCTTTTTTTGTGTGTGTCTATCACCGGGGAAAACCGTAGAGTTAATACAAAGACAGTTACAATACTGGGGCAGCGTCGATGACAATGCAGAGGGACACTTACATCTTGCAGCAGTTTCTCCAGGTTCTCTTGCAGCTCAAAGAAGTACCTGGAGGTGATGAGGCCATCTCGGGACTTGGCCAGACAGTCCCTCGCCAGCTCGATGACCTGATGGTGGATGAAGCTAAGCACCCCGTCAGCCAGCGGCAGCACATTCTCAGGATCGCTGGAGGTGATGAATTCCCGCAGGTTCTCTTCCATCTGAGCCGTGGCCTAAGGGTTCAGTTAAAATTTTCTTTCCGTCACATCTCTCATCTCCAGTAAAGCCACTTTGTTTTTATTTCAGGGGCACATAGAATCACTTAAAACGCAACAAACATCAAATCGGGCCGTTCAGTTCAAAGCTGAAAGACGTTGTGCCTGTGTTTGTTATGCCTGCTGTCTCCAAATTCATGGATTGCAAACGATCAGCCAAAAAATGGTGAAATAATTTGGGCATTTAAAATAATTTTAAAAGCAACTAACTTTTCACCAACTTGAGACATACTTATTATTATCAGTGTGAACTTGTCAACAACCTAGCAACTGTAACCTATTGATTTCATGTAAATTGGTCCTGTGCAGGCGTTCATGTCACACTGGCGTTTAACAGGTGGGCGCAATGTAGTAGGTGGGCGAGTGATTAAATGCATTTGAACCCATAACCTGTTCTTAACCCCTGATTTGTGTGACTGGTGAGTCAGTTGTTATTTTATCTTGTGGTATTTCATTTAGTTTGGGGGTGAGGAACTAGCACCTGATGTTAATAAGTGCTCTTGACTACAGCTGTCCATATAGCAATGAATAATAGTCTTTTATGTAAAACAGACTCATGGTCTTACCTTCTTGAATGAAAAAAATCCAAATCGGTATAAAATAAGCGACACACGGATATATATATTTAAATGCTGAGGGTGCCTTTTGCATTAAAAGATAAGTCAACCCCAACTCACTCACCTTTGGAAATCGTTCTTTATAAACATGGTTCATCATCACTATCTCATTGTCATAGAAACAAGGGGATCGTCCAGGACTGGAAATTAAAGTGAAAAGACAAGCAGAGAAAGGTGTGAGCATTGCACTTCATTGTTAGGAATAGGAGGTTAAGTATTGCATCAGAAATTGGTGTTACTGATCTACAGTGTTAGTGATTCCGGTGCTGCTTCATTGAATCTGTCACTTACGTGAGGTCTGAGAATCATTTCACAGGCCAGGCTGATCTATCAGAAATATAATTACACACATAATTGCTTGAACAAAGAGCACAAGGCAGCCAATTTTCAATTTATTGTGTCTCTTTGAAAGATGGAATGATAACCCAGTATCTGACGCCTACATTTAATTGTGTATGTGAGATTCAGATTAGACGCAAGGATCTCAGCAAACACAAGCAGTAGACGGAGAGTAGACATACTCGTGGAGTCCTGTAGCTCAGTGGTTAGAGCACTCGCTTTGCAAGTGAGAGACCTGAGTTCAATTCCAGGCAGAGGGCCAAACCTTGGGCAAGTTTCCTTACTCCACACAGAGCCTAATAATAATCCCTCCAAAACCAAAAACAATAATAAATTGGTCATTTTCAATCTACGACTGTTTGTGGGACATTGCTGTGCGCAATTGGCCGCCGCGTTTCGCCCACAAATATACAGTCAATTTACTTTACAGTGTGTTCTGTGAAGCGCTTTGGGATGTCCTCCCGACATGAAAAGCGCTATATCAAATGCAAGGATTATTATTATTATTATACACATGATGAGAATCAGCACTAGCATGAAGTTGTGGAGACCTCGAGCTCAGTGGTTAGACCGCTCGCTTCGCAAGCGAGAGACCTGGGTTCTATCAACATATTCAAGACTGAGATAGATATATTTCTTATTGCAAAAGGGATTAAGGGATATGGGGATAAGGCAGGGCTATGTTATTAGCTGGAGTTAGATTAGAAGATCAGCTATGATTGAATGGCGGGCCAGGCTCGAAGGGCCGAATGGCCTACTCCTGCTCCTACACGTTATGTTATTCCCGGCAAGGCAAAATGTTGGGCAGGTTTCTTTACTCCACACTTGTCTGTTTACCTAGCAGTAAATAGGAACCTGGTTGTTAGTCGATTGGTGGATTGTATTTCTGGGAATAATAATCCCTAAAAAAAACAATAATAATTTGGGAACTCAATCCACAACTGTTTGTGGGACGCTGCTGTGCACAATTGGCTGCCGCGTTTCGCCCACAAAATATACAGTCACTACACTCTATAGTATATTCTGTGAAGCGCTTTGCGACGTCTAGAAGATGTGAAAAGCACTATATCAAATTCAAGTATTATTAAGTACCCTTTAATGCATTTTGTATTTTATGTTTGATTGTAGCATCTTTCTGGAGATTTTAATCATTATGAAAGCTTTGATTATGAATGCACTTCGAAGCAGTTTGTACTGACCATATGTGCCTGTAACATAAGGGAGAAATGACAGCCAAATCATCGTTGCTATTTCCAGATTTTGTTAAAATAAATTATAATAGGAGAAATGTGTTGAAGGACTTTCATCCATTTAGTCATTTTTGGAAGAAATTCTAATTTGGTTGACATCATAAAAAAAGTAGCACTGCAGCCTAAACATACGCAAATGCTTCTCCCTGATGTACATTTATAATTTTGGCCATTAATTTAAATCACAAATATCTGGGGAGCAAATCCAGCATAACAACCCAGAGGTTCAAAAGAATTCCATGATGTAGAGGGTCTGTTCATCGGTTATTAATTACGACTTACAATAAAGTGTGAATTAGTGCAGATTAATTTGTCACAATATTATGACGACGACAACAACAACAATTTGCATTTATATAACGCCCTTCGTACAGGTAAGAAAAAAATAATGGAGAAATGAAATGATGTCAGAATGTGCTAAGCATTACACATGTCAATGACAGGAATCTCTGACTCCATCTTTATTCCAGATAAACAATGAAAAAAAAAAGAATAATTTCATTTGGGTGCAAAAAAGTCAATATTTTCACAAGGGTAAAGTTTTTCTCTATCAATTATTTTTAAGGTTGGATTCATTTTTTTTTAAAAAGACAAGAATATTCTCACTCGACAAGGAAAACCAAATCACCAGGCCATCGAATCATTTAATAAATTCCATCACAATACTGTGTGGCAATTTTATTTTCATTCTCATCAATCCCCTTGTCAGCATGGAAATCATGTGTGGAATTTAAGGAAAGTAGACAAATTGCCGATGACCTCTCCTCTCTGCACTGTTTCCCTCCCACTAACCTCTTTCACAGTTATAAATCTATTAGACAGTAATGACGTTCAGGCAATTCTTCACTTGAGGCTCGCCTAATAAATTAATAACCACAAGATCTGTGTATTGTTCTGGACCCATCTACTTCTGGACAACCCACAAGACTGTGTGCAGGAAATCTGACTGCTCGTCTATTCATATAATGAGGCTTGAAAATGTAGGAGCGATTAAGTAAACGCGAAGACTGGGAGGCTGTTACAGGTTGCAAAACATTTGAGCAAATCGCTTTGAGGCGTCTCGCAGACGAGATAAGGCGCTATATCAAATGCAAGGATTATTATTATACAATAATAATCTATGAGGATTCAAGAGAAGGGCTTTGAACCGACAAAAGCATCAGGGTGAAATGTGAATGATTTGCAAGCTAAGTAAATGCAATCTTTATTTCAAGAACAATGCTAAAAGGTGTTTTGTAATCTCGTCCCTCCCACACCAAGGAAAACGGTAAAAATCTTAAAATCCCGCTCAGTGAAGATCATTTGCAAGTACCCAAAGCAGCGTTTCTGATCTTATACAATGCATAGCTCTCAATTCAGGCAGTAACAGCCATGAAGACAACCAAATAGGCGGTTTTCCCCGCTTGCAAATGGCAAAGACAATCTCGCTAAAATTCTGCAGATCCATCATTCTTACAATGATGGGCTAAAATTCTTTGCCATTGTGAGAATAATAAAAAATGTGGCATAGATTCAACAATGTGGGGTGGGGGGCGGGGGGGGTGGGAAGCGAGCACAAAATGAAAAACAAATGTTCCTACTCCGGTTTCGGCTCCCCACTACCTTGTATTGTCATGAGTTAATGGCTAACAAGCAATGAATGGCTCATTGATTTGACAGGAGAAATGGAACAGCACGAAGTGCCTGGAGTGAATCACATCGATTGAGTCTATACTTCTGAAACTAAATAACTATATTGTTGCGGCTCTAAATCAATGGAAAATATTGGGTGCCAAACTCTTAATGTCGCGCCGAAAATTGTCACACACATATGTACAGAACTGTCTCATGTAAGGAAGGGGTTTAAAACAGAACACATCTCCAGACCTAGGGCTTTAACAGCTAATTAACTGACTGAGATATCCATTTAAAATAATTTGTTCAATCCTTAAACCAGTGGCTGCCAAAGAACACGCACACAGATCTAGATCCAGCGTCGTGCTCCTGCACAGTCGAGCGCTCTGGGACGCTACCCTGAGTGAGGAGGTGCCATATAAATGCAAGTTGTTGTTGTTGGCTGTGGCCGTATTTTCAAGCGAAGGAATATCTCATGCGACGGGTACGTCTGTCGACACCTCTCAGGGCACTGACCTGAGGCTGCGAGATCGAGGTCGCATGGGTGATTGCCTTCCATCGTCGTCGGTGATGCTCTCGGTACTGAAGTGCTTGCTGAGGAAGTGCAGCTCGTCGGCTGTGGGCTGATACGGCAGCTGGTGAAGTTTTTCCTGTGATGAGCAGGATGACTGTGTGCAGTAAACAAAACCTTCCTAAGTGCTATTTCGCATCAGTCCCAACTCCCCGCACCCCCTGCACTATTACACCGGGGAACAGGACAGAATAAGCAGCGTTTTTAACAAAACCAAAGGAAAAACAACAAAGCAAATCTGCTGGTATAAAAATATCTTTTGTTAGATCTGAGCACGAACTTGCGAGGGCAAACGTTTACTGGAGTTGGCACTTGAAACCTGCCTAGAAACACGGTCAAACTTACAACAACACGAAAAATGACATTTATAGAGTGCCTTTCACGTCGGGAGGATGTCCCAAAGCGCTGAACAGTCAGGTGTCGGGGCCCGAGCGTGGGGGAGGGGTGGTGTAGGGGTGAGGGAAGGCAGAGAGGTGGGAGGGTGACCAAAGGTACGGTCCAAGAGAAGGGTCTTGAGACCGGCCTTGAAGGAGGCAAGGGAGGAGGCGAGGCGAAGGGACCGTGGGATGGAGTTCCAGAGTGTGGCGATATTTGATTTTATTGAGGGATAAATTAAAGAAAGTTACTTATAAAGTCACAGTGATATCTGGCAAAATGATTCTTATTAAGAATCAGATGCTTTCATGTTCATTAGCAGTGTTGTAGCACAAATTTTCCTCACCCAATAGTTTTTNGTGGTAAAAGTACATATTAAAAACTAGTACCATACTGTTCTGAATCCTTCTGATAAGGACTACCGTTTAGAAATGCATTCACACCCATCAAGCAGAATCAAAATGACTACGCGTTTCCTAAAAGCCCACCTTCAAGCAGACATAAAAGCAGGTGCTCCCGGCCATTTGAGAGATAGCACATCAAAGCTGCTGCGTGTTAGATTTCCCTTCGAACAGAGACGTGTGGCTGGGAAATAAATGAGCCAAACAGCTTGAAGGTCGTGTGTCATTTTTTTCTTCTCGCCTCAGACCGCAGCACAGCATACACTCCATGTTAAAGTTGTGGTTTGTTCAACAAATTGGGAGTGTTGCCGGACGCAATGGTACTGAATTTGTCACTTTATCTCACGTCTTCCCCCACCCCATTACATGACAGCCTTTCGGGAGAGGCTGAACTGTGGAAAAAAATTGGCGTTGGATTCTAGGCAACACAATAGCTGCATGCTGGAGTTTATCTTGTCTACAGCTGCCTACTTTGTCTACACCACCAGCAGAACATGCCAATGGGAGGACAGACAGCTCCCCACAGGGAAAAATAAGCCACTTCAGACCAATATTGAACGCCTGCGAGCACAAGGTACAGTTAACAGAGGCTTCAGAGTGCTTTATTTGACAGGTTGTTTGACTCTGGGAGAACCAAAAATGGGGGCAAAAGGGAAAATAAGAAACAAACGTGATATGAGTAACATTATATAGTTTACAATAAACCAAGAGTATTAATACCTTGCCTACAAAAATACACTTCACAGTGAATCCTGCTACGCTCTTTGAGATATCCTCTCGACCTGAAAGGGGCTACACTCAAATGCAAGGGTTATTATTAGAGGATTAAAACTTGCACACTTCAAGAATTTCAATGAAGAGATTGATTATTTGGGGGGGAGGGTAGGATTATTGTGGGGGGGCAGGTGCTTGGACACACGTGTAAATGTACATTTTGAAATTTAGATGCCACATTTTAATGGCGCTGCAGATATCTACACAAAATAATGAGTCAAAAATTACACGTGTTGCCCTACATTGTACATGGTTATACAACCAATGGCTTTGTTAGTTACATCACACCATCGTTGATGAGAACGTCCCTAAGAAGCAGTTTTTCAGAGCTCTGTGTTCGGTTCTTACTCAGTGGGTAACTCTTGTACCAGCAGCAAACTCCAGGCATCAATCGATGACACTAATGCATCTGGAGAGGAGTCAGTGAGAAAGAATTCCTGTGATCTAACATAAAAGTATGTGGTCTTGTTTTGTTATTTTTTGTTAAAATTGTTCACTTGAATACAAAGAGAATGCTTGAAGGTAAACAGGAAAGGCCGTAACTAAATATTTTCCATTTGGCCTTTATTCACAGTAGGTTAGGGGCTGATGGATACAGTTTGGGCTTCTGAACATCGATCACCGATCAGGGCTAGTGATTAGCTGTTGTAATGTGAGCAATACTTACAGATACTGTGGAACTTGGCGTATTGGTTCCATATCCAGAAGAGGGCAGGGAAGCCAGAGACCATCGTCGTCCATCCGTCCTGAGGGATGAGGAGGGAGAAAATCTAAATTGGTAAATGAAAGGACCAAAACCTTTCTTATAAAGCTGCACACAATATTTTGACTGAAACGACTATGTTCCCAAACTCCAATACACTGTCCTCCTACACATTGAAGCCCCAATTTCACTCATACCACGAGATAGCACTAAACTGAGCTTAAGAACAAAACGTTTTCCCTAATTGGAATTTAATCTGTTTGATAAAGTTTCCTGCGGAGGACAATCTCGGAAATCAGCGGAATTTTTTCTAAAAAAAAGCTGATTTAAACCTCTACGATTGCATTCTGAACAAAATTACCAAAGTCAGCAAAATGCCTCTGCAGCCCTTTTCCATTCCTATTGATCTAAAAAAATTCAATCTTTTGTGAATTACTAGCTGCTGGTTTGCTAAGATTTGTCTGTACTACCACGCAAGGAGAACGATGGAATGACGTTGACAGGCGAGGAGTAGTAATTTGTTCAATCGCTGGATTTTGTGCGCCTGCTGACTCTCAGCATCAAACCTGCACTCAGTTTATTACTGTCACCAAAGCAGCTTCGAAATGAAATAATATGCTGGTTAAAGGGAATTGAGAGTTTTGCTATCCAGTGAACTTTATAGATGGGCCCCAGTGCTGAAGCTCGGCACATCTTGTATAACTCTGAACCCAAATGAAATGCTGATAAGCAATGCAATCAGCGTTTCTGAACTTGGCAAATTGTTTTTTTAAAAAAGGAACTGCAAATAAAAAACAGCTTTTAAGGTGAAGGCTAATTTCAACAGTTTGGTAAATTCTGGCAAAAAACAGTTTGGCTCAAGAACACGATTAGCAAAATATAGATCTCAGTGGAATCCCCAACATCTCAAACTGTAAGCGTGCCCTTCGTTTAGTACATTCCTGGTCAAATGACGCGACATGTTTTGCTCAAGTATTTTACTGCCTTTTCATGCACACGAACATTCAATATACAGCTACACGACATGCAGTACGTACGACAGCAACACTTATTTGAGTGTTACCTGTCGGCTCTGTGACCATGGCTGCAGCAAAGGAATGAAAACATTAACTAGCTTAACATTAACATTAACATCGGTTTCAAAACGCAGTGCACAAACAATGCCCATTCAAATTGCTTCATGGGTCAGACTTTATTCTCGGCCAGTGCATCAAGTACATCAAATACATCATTTTAATGTCCTTGTTCAGCAAACACCAGTGTATGAAACTCAGGGGAAATCTCTTTTTTTTGAAAAAAAAAGGTTAATTACACTCAACATCTTGTGTCCTCAAGGATAGCATCCAGGGACAGAGTACCCACGCCTCAGTTAAAGGGTACCTTCCCCTCGAAAAACACCTGACAAAATTGTGGAGCTTGAAAGACCCACCAGATTAGGTCTTGTTATGCTTCCAATGGTTAACATACTGTCATGTGTCATGGCATTGTTGCTTCTATCCATTCATATTAATTCTGACATTTATTACATAAAAATATGTTTAGTGGTTGAATTAAAGTCTCCTTACAAAGTATGTCATGACATTCATATGCAAAGATGGCCTCGAACATTAAGTAATGTCATGTTTGCAAATTTAAATATATTTCGATGCACGATACATGGGGGGGTGGGGAACTCTTAGAATCTCTGAAGGCGATTGCATAAGTGCACATTTTAAATTTATTACCTGCATTTAGAATAATAATAAGCAAAGGTATTACGGGAACACTGGGACATGATTAACAAGGCCACAGAAGAAGGTAGTCTCACTGCCATTCCCTGTGGAGACAAATCCGTGGTGCAAAACAGTCCGTATTTAGCTTAATTGTTTATCGCTTGCTTAGAAAAAGCATCAGATCTGGGAAATAGAAATGTCACACTTTTACAACAGGGGGTGCTCTCCTGAGAATGGGGTCAAGACACTTTGTTGAGGTGATGAAGCTCTGGCTTGTACTGCATCTGGCTTGGGTATACCTAATTAGACAGTGCTTGATGCTTTGTATGAAAATTGCAAGGCCTTTTGGGATGATTAATCTGCAGAAAGAAACCCCTTTATGCAATCTGTAATCTGGTGCTTTATGTCATTTATTATTATAAAAAGTTATTGTTTATTTAAGTTATTATTATGATAAAAAGTTGCTCCATTGGATCGAGTTACCCTCTGGTGTACAAACTCATTCTTCTTTACACTCGCTGAGTTACTACAACTGCCTCACAACTATTTAGGAGCTGATTTTTTTTACTGGACATTAAGTACTGGTGTGCAGAATTCTTTGTTCTAATAAGCTCCTAATTAGTTGAATGGTGAATTGCACTTGTAACTCAGCTGGGACAAGGTGGAGTGTCCCAAATGCAATCAGCGTCCTGGGCTAAGGAGGGGGAATGTTTAGCTAGTGTTCATGCTACTGATCTCCAGCTATCCAGTGATTCTCTGCTGGAAATACAAGTATGTAGCTGCTGGGAGAAGGCAGGATGATGTTCAGTCACTGGATAAATAGCCCAAAACTGCCCAAAACTAATACAGTACTTGAAATGCAAATAGCATCCGTGGAGACTGGGAACTTGTCACATTTGAAAGTGCGTAAAACGAGGCTGCATTTCCCAAACCATGTGTCCTGCAGTGATGCTAATAATCCTGTAATAATAATCCTGGCATTTGATATAGCGCTTTATCACGTCTTCGAGACGTCTCAAAGCGTTTCACAGAATATACTGTAAAGTGAATTGACGGTATATTTGTAGGCTATATTTGAGATACTGAGATATTCCAACCATATACTTAATCTTACAGCATTACTAGTTTATCATGTTAAACTTTATTGCTTTTTTTATTTTGTTGAAATGCTTTTTGTAAAAGTTGGCAGAGTTATATTAAAAGGAACACTGTCCAATTTGGACAGTTGCAATTTACAGTACAAGCAAGTTAAATACACATCAGTGTATGTTCACATGCAGAATGTGCCCGCATGCAACACGCAAGACTTTTGAAACGCTATTTAAGTACACACACGCACATACACGAAAACAAACCACAGCTTTACCTGCGAGCTGGCACAAACGAAAAGTGAGCTGCTGCATTGGGAGAGAAATTCCTTGGACTGTCGAGAGGGCTGTTACCTGCGGATAAAACACTCAAATTGTGAGGTTAGGTCAGACTGGAGACAGAAATTACATTTTAACATAGCCATTCAGATAGAATGATCTTACAGAAATAATTTTACATCACACTTGCGAGCTTGCAACTCTGCAGATCATCTTTCGCGTATTCATACTGATGAGATAATTAAGAATTTAAATTGCAATCGACAGGCAGTGTCTGTGATAAACGTCTCCACTTATGAGGCCAACTGCAATTTACCTGCAACTTTGCCACTCACACATTTCTAGGCAGCCCAGTGGAGACAGATATGTGATGAGAAGGCATGGACTAGCATTCATATTCCGTGAGCGAATTGGCCTTGCAATTTACAAGCAGTGAATCTGCAAAGTGAGTGATGGTCAACGCCTCCGGTGGGAAATAAATTAAAGAATCTTATCATGCATTCTGCGTACGCGGAGGTTAGGTAACTAATTAAAAATAAAATGATGAAAATTAGCATCCCCGATGGCTCAGAGATTTTATCTTGGGTTTAACACCCAGACTTTGCTGAGTGTCAGCTCATCTCAGCGTGATTAGCAGTGGAGTGCTGCAACTGGCCTCGGTAAATTGGTCTCTCCGGTTAGGCGGGGGTAGGTCAGCCAGGGTTTCCGATCCTGGTCGCTGTTCAATGACAGTGCTTGGAGGGGCACATTTATGAATGCCTGGTGAAGACCAGACTGGGCTTCGGTGTGATGTCGACTCCAGTCAAATACCTTCCCAACACAGGGAAATCAGTGGGACTATGAAATTGTACAATGGGGAAAAGGACCCAAATGCACTTAGGGGGCGGAAAAGTACTTAGAGAAAACAAGTTCAACCGCGGACGTGGAAGGTCGTTAGGGGTTGAGTCCTGACGCGAGCAAAGCTCTCGGAAACCGCGTGAACAAAGCACGTTGCGGTTTACTGGGTCAGGCCACTGGGTGGTGCTGTGGCAGTGCAGGACTATCAGTGCTCAGACTATCTGGTCCCCTTTGCTCTGTGGTCAGTCTCCCCTCGGCTCAGCCCAGCGCCCCCCCCCCCAGCGAGAGCTCAACGGCGAACAAACACCAGCGGAAAAAATATCTGCCAAGGGCAACATTCAAACTCGAGCGTCCCCACATCAAGGCCCTTCCAAATACTGAATTACAGACGGTTTCAACCGAAGCGGGGACGAGGCAACGAGATACTGATCGCGCTCCAGAGCTGGCTCGGGGGGGATTAAGTCTCATTTTGCACCATTTCTTTTGTCCCTCGGACTAGTTTGCGGAAGTTTGGAGCCAGTTTGTCAATCCTTTGCCTGAGTCCCGTAGCTCAGTGGTTAGAGCACTCGCTTTGCAAGCGAGAGACCTGAGTTCAATTCCAGGCAGAGGGTGAAACCTTGGGCAAGTTTCCTTACTCCACACAGAGCCTAATAATAATCCCTCCAAAACCAAAAACAATAATAAAAATTGGTCATTTTCGATCTACGACTGTTTGTGGGACATTGCTGTGCGCAATTGGCTGCCGCGTTCGCCCACAAATATACAGTCAATTCACTTTACAGTGTGTGTTCTGTGAAGCGCTTTGGGACGTCCTCCCGACGTGGAAAGCGCTATATCAAATGCAAAGATTATTATTATTAATCTGTACAATATGTGGCGACAGCAGAGTGCGCCCACTGGTAGGAATGAAAATAAGCTGATTACCCCACCCCCCACCAAAAAAAAAATGTTTTGTTTGTTTAACTAAAACTCATGTTAAATTAATTAATTAATCCTATAAGTCCCAAATTTTATTTCTCCTTCAATAGTTTGGTGTAGAGGAGGGCAAGCGTGCCTGGAAAAATGGAGACCTCACAATGAGAAAATCTTTATTAGAAGCACATTTATTGAAAAAGAAACACGCTGTACTTCCTTCTGAATAAATGCCATTTATGAAACATTGAGGACTGAAATGGTTTTAATTGTGTCTTCACAATGAATCGTCTTTCCAACTCAACGGCTTGCCAATAGCCAGCATGCCGAGTTAATGCACTGTCATTTTAGCATTAAAGAACTGAGCGGAAATATTATTCATTCGTGACACATTCCTTGAACAAGAGGGGGGGAAAAAAAACATCAACATTTCCAATTTCGCTGCAGAAACACGACTGCAGACCCGAAGCAGTAAATCCAGAAATGATGGCAACTTTGAACAAAAACGCACCAAGTTCAAAATTAAAGCGTGGGATTAAAATAGCATACTGTTCCTTTCCCTCCTCGGTGCACGTTGGAATTCTTTAAGGGTGCTTTTTTCCAATTAAGCACAAGAACACTAAACCGAAAATGCACTTTACACAAAGGTTTGGTTCTGTTTTTTTTAAAGTGCATTTAGATTGCCACCTGATCCAATTTAGTCAGGATGGATTATTTAGGAAGGCTGTGAAAGAAAGGTTCTCATAATAGTAATTAAGTATTAATCGAATTGCATAATATTACTACCCATTTAGTTTCTAAGTTGTATTGTCCACATCACAATTTATGTCATGCTTTATAATGTGCTTCTTATCTAAGACTCAGAAAAATTCAAGAGGTGTTGTACTGAGCACTGACAGTCACTGTTTCAAACTCGGTGGTTTAATAACAATAATAATAATCCTTGCATTTGATATAGCGCTTTTCACGTCGGGAGGACGCCCCAAAGCGCTTCACAGAACACACTGTAAAGTGAATTGACTGTATATTTGTGGGCGAACGCAGCAGCCAATTGCGCACAGCAATGTCCCACAAACAGTCGTAGATTGAAAATGACCAATTTAATTATTGTTTGGGGTTTTTTTTTGGAGGAATTATTAAATTGATATGGTGGAAATGAACCAATCAGACGGTGAATGTCCGGTTGATTCTTGGTCAACCATGTGCTCACACTCCAATGCTGTCAGAAAGGCTTAGAAAAATAATAATCTTTGCATTTGACATAGTGCCTTATCACGTCTTCAAGACGTCTCAAAGCGTTTCACAGAATGTTGTTTAACTAGACAGTGGACTGAATGTATCTGAAATCCTCAGATCCAGGGGTATTTTGGATACGATGTTTTTTCTCAGATAAACTGTAAATCATCCAGATCTCAGACCTTCAGTAAAACTGCAGAGACTTAACTTGAACTGCCTCCAGTACCTTGGCTCTCCCCGACTTTAGCTGCCTGTCTGGAAAATACTCGGTGTTGCTCTCTGCCTTGTCCGTTTGCCGACTGTCATTCTTTCTTGGGTAAAACGAGCAACCTGATCCGCTTCCATAAATTAGAATCTCTCTCAGTTTCTGGCTATGCCGTCATGTTCCCACTAATCTCCCACTTTGCAGTAAAACTGAAATCCAAGTCGCCTCTGTGACCTCTCCTCTGACTGTCCACTCGGTTCCCAGTTCTTCCACTCAACGTTTCTAATAACAAAATGCTCGGAGGTTTACTGTACTGTGTTTAAGTGTCAACGATTTGTCCAGGTTTTAGACACTCACCTTTGTACTCCTTTAAACAAAGAATTGAGATCAAACTCGACACCTTTTGTTAAGTTATATTCCGATTTTCTGAAAGTGCTGATGGCTTCATTAAAGTAAGGAAAAGATTTAGAGACTAACTGTACAAGTGAGCTGTATGATTGAAAGGACATAATTACTAAAGGACCCTGGGTTAATGACTATCATGCCACTAATGTTAATTAGCTCCATCACAATACCAGGCTTAGCAAATTCTCCAACTACCTCATCAGCACTGCTTAAAATTAAAACAAAAATTGGGGGCGGAGGAATGTTAATCTCAGTTGCTTTTAATGATATTGGTAGCCTTCTAAATCCTGCCATGCATTTTTTTTTACTGATTAAGGAGCCAACGGATCATCTGAATATCCCTTCCCCACAAGCACTACACATGTTCACTATGCAATAATGACTTTTATATACAATTTTAACTCAACGCATTTCCTCCTGCAAACCTTGGGTTTGTGCCCTTTTTTAATGTAACCTGGTTTACAAATAATTTTCTTTTTACACCACAATTTTCACATTAGTTGGCACAATAAAGCATTTGGTTTCAGGCAAGTCGTAAAATGCGCATTGCGTGCAAAAGAAGAGGCAGTAAGTAGGTGCCAAAAGACTGGATGGGGCCAGTGCTGCATCGGGGAGTGTTTCATAATGAAGCCATGTGGTCCGAACAACTTCATTTATACTCCACACGTCAGTGGAAATTTGTGGTCCCAAGCAGAAAAGGTCCTCATGTACACATGGACACAGTATCCGCAACACATCAAAGTGCTGACCTTACTGTAGCAGTTCTATTCCAGGTTAACTGGGCGCAGAAAAACCTCTCCTTGAAACGTCAGTGTGGAGTTTAGTCGTTTGTTTAAAAAAAACTTAACAGCTGGCAGTGAATTAGTTACAAGGCTCCAATTCAACTCATAGTACCTAAATGCCGTTAAATCATAAGTGAAAAGCGCAAGACGTTTATAAATAAGGAAAAAAGATTGAATTATTATCTTAAACTCACTGCCAAGTATTTGTTATTGGATAGAATTTAATACTGAAATGCCCAGGGCCTTGGGACGTCCTCCTGACGTCAAAGGCGCTATACAAATTTAATTTTGTTACTGTTGTAAATGTACAATAGTCAGGACAACATCTAACATTGCATACAAAATGAACCCCAGCTATGTCAAGGCATCATCTACTCTGAAAACTAGTGGTTTAGAGAAAAGATTCTCCAATGAAGCATTTGTCATTAAATATTGCAGGAAATTGCCCTGAGAGTACGTAAAAGGTGGAGGCTTATCGAGTCTGCCTATCTAAAGAGGTCATGCCTATCAAATTACCTTCCACCAACCCTAATTATAAGTTAATATTCAGTATCAAATTACTGGTTAATAAATTATTCAGTAAATACTGTGGTTTTAATGGAAGTAAATTAGCTGTACATCTACTATTTGGAGGTGGATCAAACTACGCAGGGGGTGGTTTAGTATATTTGCTCTCATTGTGTCAATTGCACTCGATT